CCATAGTAATTCTATACAAAGAGTGTCGAATTAGGCATGCATGCAAGGCTTCCTGATGCATGCAAGGCTTTAAACCATGCAGAGTAGTTCTGCAAGGACACAACCATTTTGGGAGAATGATACGCCGAAAAAGTCACGATTGTTTTGCCAATATAGATACTCCAAAAGATGAAATTCAGGAAGAGGTTTCAGAAGCCGCTGACGAGAAGAATTGTTTGATAGATGATAATTCAATTAACGAGTCAAGAAATGAAGGTATTTTTCTCAATCGAGATTGTAGACGAAGGGAGTATAAGTTTTGCAAGGGCAGTACGTTTATGGGAGTTAAAATGGGACGACGAAAAAGTCACGATTGTTTTGCCAATATAGATACTCCAACAGATGAAATTCAGGAAGAGGTTCCAGAAGCCATTGACGAGAAGAATAGTTTGATGGGTGATAATTCAATTAACGAGTCAAGAAATGAAGGTATTTTTCTCAATCGAGATTGTAGACGAAGGGAGTATAAGTTTTGCAAGGGCAGTACGTTTATGGGAGTTAAAATGGGACGACGAAAAAGTCACGATTGTTTTGCCAATATAGATACTCCAACAGATGAAATTCAGGAAGAGGTTCCAGAAGCCATTGACGAGAAGAATAGTTTGATGGGTGATAATTCAATTAACGAGTCAAGAAATGAAGGTATTTTTCTCAATCGAGATTGTAGACGAAGGGAGTATAAGTTTTGCAAGGGCAGTACGTTTATGGGAGTTAAAATGGGACGACGAAAAAGTCACGATTGTTTTGCCAATATAGATACTCCAACAGATGAAATTCAGGAAGAGGTTCCAGAAGCCATTGACGAGAAGAATAGTTTGATGGGTGATAATTCAATTAACGAGTCAAGAAATGAAGGTATTTTTCTCAATCGAGATTGTAGAGGAAGGGAGTAAGTTTTGCAAGGGCAGTACGATTTTGGGAGTTGAAATGGGACGACGAAAAAGTCACGATTGTTTTGCCAATATAGATACTCCAACAAATGAAAATCAGGAAGAGGTTCAAGAAGCCGCTGACGAGAAGAATAGTTTGATAGAAAATAATTCAATTACCGAGTCAAGAAAAGAAGGTATTTTTCTCAATCGAGATTGTAGAGGAAGGGAGTAAGTTTTGCAAGGGCAGTACGATTTTGGGAGTTGAAATGGGACGACGAAAAAGTCACGATTGTTTTGCCAATATAGATACTCCAACAAATGAAAATCAGGAAGAGGTTCAAGAAGCCGCTGACGAGAAGAATAGTTTGATAGAAAATAATTCAATTACCGAGTCAAGAAAAGAAGGTATTTTTCTCAATCGAGATTGTAGAGGAAGGGAGTAAGTTTTGCAAGGGCAGTACGATTTTGGGAGTTGAAATGGGACGACGAAAAAGTCACGATTGTTTTGCCAATATAGATACTCCAACAAATGAAAATCAGGAAGAGGTTCAAGAAGCCGCTGACGAGAAGAATAGTTTGATAGAAAATAATTCAATTACCGAGTCAAGAAAAGAAGGTATTTTTCTCAATCGAGATTGTAGAGGAAGGGAGTAAGTTTTGCAAGGGCAGTACGATTTTGGGAGTTGAAATGGGACGACGAAAAAGTCACGATTGTTTTGCCAATATAGATACTCCAACTGATGAAAATCAGGAAGAGGTTCCAGAAGACGCTGACGAGAAGAATGGTTTGATAGATGATAATTCAATTAACGAGTCAGGAAATGAAGGTATTTTTCTCAATCAAGACAATAGAGAAAGGGAAATAATTTATTATAGATTTTGACGCGAAAATATATTGATCAGAAACTCGTTTTAAGGAGGCTCGATCTTTACAGTTTCGTTCGATGCCATTTTCAAATCGTACTTATAGCTGAAATTCAAAAAGTACGTTATTAAATATGGTTTTCACCTATTAACATTTACCAGTGGCCTTTGAAAACAGTGATATATAATAAATGAAAACAGTGATATATAATAAATGTCACTTAATTAATTAAAATATGTCACAACTTAAGTCTTGAAGTTATGAAATACCGGAAATCTTCAATGGTATATATACAGTAGCTCTTTTCATTAGTTTAACTTACAAATCATCTGGTTCTAATTGATTTTTATGAGTACGTTGTTTCACTGTGCATCAAACGGCAAGTATTTTAATGTACGTTTGAAACTGATTTTAACAACAAATGCAAATTTAAGAAAGGTTTCTTAATTCAAATCATAAAATCAAATATTTTTGATTTTTACGATGTTGGATATATTTTCCAATCATGCACTATTTTCATCTCAAACAGAAAAACTTATTTCAAAATACCCATTGTAATATTTAAAAAAACTCCTTCGCTGCAAGCTCGCGTGTTTTCACTGAAGTGAGAGCGAAGCATTCCCAGAAAAAGGATCCCCATATTTCAAAATCTGACTATATAGTCTATTAAGTTTTATATAACACCTCATTAAATTCTGGTCATTTAATTGCTGATGATCACATGATATGGAATTAAAATTCCCAATTTGCTACCGTGCAATAGTACTGACTGAGTTGTACTATTGCTCGCTCAGGGATGGTTTAATTAAATGCAATCATTCAAAATACTATTCGTGTCGTAATCGTAGCTCATTTAACTATAATTTTCATACTGAGACCGACGGAATTAAATTCAAATACATAACTCGTGCGAAGCAGAATGGCGAGAGTAAAAATACAAAAATCCGTCTTCTAGATAATATGAATTTAGCTAACGAAGTTAAATGCGTTTTTTTTTTTACTTCCCAGTTGAGGTAATCGACGAAGAGAATATGGTGGATGCTCATAAACAGCAGGACGTTGTTGAAAGGTTAGTTTATAATTCACGCAACGTACTCAGTTTATCGGCCGTTGATCGACATGGTTTTGTTTTTCCAAAAGCGATTCAGTTATTATGTACGATAATAAGGGATTCAAAACTAATGCAAATATCGTTCTATACTAAACTGACTACAAGCTTGCCTACCTGTTGGAAACGTTACTCTATGACGTGTTCAGTGTTCGATAACTTGACTAGGGTAAACAAGAAAACCAAAACCTTAATATTTCAATGTTCATTGTGTCACATTCTTATTTTGCAGATTGTTGGTTATTTATTAAGTTGCTAATTCTGCTAGATAACAATTCTGCTAGATAACGATTCTGCTCCTTCCAACTGCTACAACACTCTCCACTTTTAAATCATACCTAAACATGAGACTTACCTTCGCCTGACTGTTACTAACTACACTCCTTACCTATAGCTCACACTTATTGATGACGACTAACTAATATCTTCCAGGTCATTCATTTTGCCACTTCTCTCTTCTGTGCTTCTATAGGTTTCCATAATTCCATTCACCTTCCATCTTTCTATACTATCTCATCTAGTGGTGAGCACCGTGCATGGGACCTAGTCTCGTTTGTGTTTCCGCCACGTTTGGCACCTATATAGTTACTATTCTCCATATTCTTGTTCAATATAATTATCTGTGTAAGTTATGTACAATATTATCAAGTTATCTTCGTGCCAAATTAAAGCTGTTAAGTAAAATAAAAATAAATAAAATAGCTATTCGTTGCCGAGGGCGAGGGTGCTAATTCTGTTATAAGAAGTGAAATTCTACCTTTCCTATGCGATAGTAGCCTGCGTACTGTATAGCTGGCGGTTTAAAGGGGTTGGGGTTGTTTTCCGAGCCTTGCCTTTCTAATTTTCGTTGCCCACCGCCAGCTACGCAGGCTAATGTGATGGACGTCGGAAGGTTTTGTTTGTTATTCACATCACAAGATTGTATGTGCATGCCCGAATTCAAGACTGGGATTTATATATTTCAATAGCTAATACCTAGCAATGCGTAACTTTGTATTTCAAAACGCAAGTTCGAATTCATATCTTGCATGCATTAACCGGCAAATAGTGGAGACGTCCAAACTCTTGACGAAAAGGAAAAACAGTTAATAGAATCAACTTGTATAGTGATTTATAAGAATCATGAATGATATATTGATTTCGGGCGAGAGGTTTGCATTGTTGTATTTTTTAAGGGACCGGTCATTATTTATGGGGGGCACCTAAGAGAAAAAGGGTTGGGTAAACAAGCATGACTCGCTCAAATATGTATCAACAGTCATATGTCAATACAATATGTAAATTAATTTAAAGTCGCTATCTTGATCATTTTCCAATTGTCAGGAGGCAAATGGTGTCTCCAAAGAAATTACATGTGCAGACAACATGAACCTTTTAACCGCAGAAAATTGCATTATCAAACTCTACAGAAGTGCTATAAAGGACATGTGTGACAACTGAATGGTATCGTAAAGCATTTGGCCAGGGGTGGGTATCTATTTTTAATTGATATTTGAGGTTGAGTAAAAATGTTTTTGACATTTTAATGGTTGGATCCGCAAAAGAAAAATGTTGCCGTCCTCCACTTTCTTCCCTCATAAATAATGACCGGTCCCTAAAAGCGAGCATTGTCATGCAGGACTACCATGCAATTTGTTATTTTTAAGGAGACATTTTAATATCCTCACTCGCTTGCTGATGGGTGTAGGAGCAGAATGCTTACGGAAGTATTTCTTGACTATACACCCAACCTGGAGCAACAAACCTTCTGACGCAAGTACCTTAAAAAAGGGCGTTCTTGAATTACAAACGGAAGAAGAAACTATATTCAATACTGGTAACATTGAAAAGTGGGATGTGTCGTTGCTTTTCCGTGTTCTACGATTTTCTGCTGTGTCATCAGTGGAACTTAAACTTAATCCTGATAAAAAGGTTGCATTGTGTAGTATTAGAGAGATAAGGAACAAGATCTTTGCACATGCTGCCAATGAAAAAGTTAATGACAGCGATTTCAAAATGCTATGGGGAGACCTAAAATGTAATCTACTAGTGATTGGAGGGAGCGAAGAGGATATTAATGAAACTTTAATCGGTAAGACAGACATGTGCTGTGCATGAAAATGCGAGTTAAACAACAACCTTGCAAGCCAGGTAGTTTAACTCCTTGCGAGGTTGGTTTAGCATTATTAGGAAATTTCATTCCAACTTATGCCAATCTTACCAGTAGTATTAATTCGTTTCAAATATTGTCCATAGCATAGGTTTATAAACCTCCTGCCATGGAGGCTATTTTATGTCAGATAATTATTTTTGTATTTACTCAAGATAGTCCAGCGGATATGCACAGATATTTGAGAAAATCATGCACTTTGTGAAGAAAGCACCAAAATCACAGGAAGTGTAGACTTTAACATGATAATGAATCTTAGATATGGAGGCATCACCAACATTGATGCTGACGGCTTAAAATTTAGGATTTCTTATATTCTCTTATTAATCTCTTATACAATTAAAAATTGTGAAATTGCAGGTTCACATATAGCAAAAATGACATGCGTCATTAGAAAGCTTACAAAAAACTGCATATAAGACATTTAAGCAGTTACTTTGATTTTCCAACTCCTCTGGAGTTATGAGCGGTTGAAAATATGCTTTAGGGCTAGTGTCCAGGACTTTGGCGGGATTTTTGCCTATTTATCACGTTTTTAAATAGCAATATCTGGAAAACCGCTTGGAAAGTCAATCAGCCGTTTAAAAGTCTTATATGTAGTTTTTTGTAAGCTTTCTAATCATGCAAGTCATTTTTGCTATACGTGAACCTGCAATTTCACAATTTTAACAGGAATAGGGTTTAATAAGAGAATATAAGAAATCTTAATTTTTTAGCCGTCAGCATCAATTTTGGTGATGCCTCCATATCTAAGATTCATTATCACGATAAAGTCTACACTTCCTGTGAATTGGGTGCTTTCTTCACAAAGTGCATGATTTTTTACTTTTCCGCTGTACTAAGAGGAATGTCCAACGCAATTTTCTTTTGCAAAATTTAGCCCTTTGGTTACCGAGATTTTTCACAAATGTGATGGGATACCTACTTTATACGTTGTTTGTTTAGACGATACGGAGTTAGTAGCTGAGCAGTATAAAGACTTGTTATTTGAGGAAATGTCCCGTCGAAGATACGAAGTTGAAAATATTGGTAGTCAAAACGTTTTCAGAAATGCCAGTGAAGAAACACCACTTCAAAACCAGCCAACTGTCCCGCTGTGGGACGATTGGATGAAATTTCTTGAATGCATGAATTCATTCAATTCTGTGCAAACTCATTTTGTCCTTGTAGCTGATGAGATGACGCACATCAATTTACAAAATTTCAAGGTGCTTTCTGCTATTCCTTGGAAAATGGTAATCGATTTTAACCCAAGTTCAGAGGACGATGGATTGTACAAAGCGTTTAGTAATCAAAGTAATCTTCAGCGAATCTTGTCTCCATTCACTCCCAGCGAAATTAAAAAGGCTGGCTATGAAGGCTTACCAAAACAGATTGATTCAAAGAGAACCCAATGGCTATTTGCTAACGGTCGAAAAGAAGACACCGAGGATAGTAAACCCAGACCGTTTCCAGTTTGGCGTAAACAATCGAAAAAACACATTTCTTCGCTTTTTTACTGCTGTTCACAAAGTAATAAGTTTGATAATCAGAAGTCCATAATTTGCCTTCTTCTTCCAACATCCAAATCAACGGAATCATTTATGGAAGAAACTCTTAACCTCTTTTCTGAACATTTCTCAGACTTTAACCCGACGTTTGTATCCATTGATGGCAGCTACAAGAAGCTTGATATTTCTCCACGTATTCGCGAGTTCCCGTTGTCATCTGAAGTGCTCAAAAATGGCCTGGATAATTTGTTTAAGCACAGTGAAAATGCCGAGGGATATCAAGTTCCCGCCAGTCTTGCTGAATTGCGTATTTGTTTATCTACAAGAGAGTATATTTACATGGAAGAGCTCTTGGAATTGTTTTACATTGGATGTCAAAATGAGTTTATTAATTTGGAAGATGAGGAGGAAGATCAAAAAGAAAACGAAGAAGAACACCGGGTTTCGTTTTTATCTGGGAACATAATTTCATTTCTGAGCCTGTATTTCAATCATGATGCAAAACGTGAAGTGGAAAAAGATATTGAAATACATATTTTACGTCTACTGAACCAAGCACTGAAACATAGTGTGATTGTGCAAATAGCTCATCCTCCCGGAACGGGTGGTTCGACCATTACAAGGCGTGTTCTTTGGAACATTCACAAAAATTTTCCTTGTGCATCTGTACGTTTGCCGAATCAATTTGAATTTGATGAAGATCCAAATTTTATCGACGAGCTTTGCAATCGAATTGTATTTTTGGAAGACAGATGCAATATCCCACCAGTGATTTTACTTGATGGTCACCGTCATTGGAGAGTCCATGCCTTTAGTAATCGAATAGTTCGAACGCTGAATAGTCGTGGAAAACATGCTGTGGTACTGGAATGCATTCGTAGCGTGAATTGCGAAAGTAAATCGTTTAAGCAACCAAACGCAGATATTCACAAAGTTTTCGTTGTGGACGCGCGCTTGGAGAATTCACCCGCTGATCTGGAAGAGTTAAAAAATAAGTACCAGCAATCAAATCGTTTTGCTCGTCGTGTTTTTCATTTCCCTCTCTTATCAATGGTAGAAGAGTTCCGAGAGAATTTAATTCGGATTGTTTCAACAAGTTTGGATGAACTAAATAACGTGGAGTATGAAATAGCTGCTTTTGTTGCGTTTTTGCAGCTTTACGGTGAAGTATCTACACCAGCCCGTCTTTTGTATGAAGCTTTTCAATCACACTTATCAATAAGTGTATGTGAACAGGTTACCTACGAAAGCGTCAAGAATTGTTTCTCAAACAACTTGCTGAATTTGATGGTCATTCAGAGGAAAACAGGCAGTAAAATACGAAAATCAAAAGATAACGATGGATATTTTCCCTCCTATACTCTTCAGCATCACGTCGTTGCTGAGCTTGTTTTTAAGAAGTATCTTGATGACAAGAAAATTAATTTGTACAAGTTCGTTTTGCACTTTCTCGAATATAATATATCGAGCATTGAAAAGTTTCTGGATTTGTACTGTGATATTTTTCTTTTCAACAAATTTGGCAACCGTGATCTGAAATTTTCATTTCTTATTGAGAAGTTGAGAAATGACAACCAAGAGGAAGCGGCTATTATTTTGGATAAAGCTGCTAAAAAAATACCGGATCCACGAGTATATGGTCACGCAGCACGTTTTTGTGCCAAGATGAAGCCGCCTAGGTTTGAAAAGGCAGAAACACTGATTGAAGCTGCAGTTAAACTATCAGAATCCAAAGGGAGGGTTAAAAGTATTCAAGATGGCAAAGGTGTGGTACTTTCCCTTGAGCTGAGACACAAAATTCGTAATAAAAAAGTAGAATCAATCGAGCAATTAGAAGAGCTAGCTCAAAAGGCACTCACGGCGTTTAATGCGGCGAGAGATTTCCCTCCTACATTCCATTCTCCTTTGCTTGGAGAGGTAGAAGTTTGGCTGTCTTGTATCCAGTGGATTACAAACCATTATTGTTCAGGTGATGCTGCTGAAGCTGTCAGATTTATTACCACGCAGTCACCACCGTTTTTTCGCACATGTATTGGAGATTGCTTCACTCTCCTTGATATTGTTGACAACATACAAGGAGCGTCGACGACTGTGTCTGATCCCGATGAAATACGACTACGTTGGGACAGAGCTCGAGAAAACATGATCAAAGCAACTAGCTTCAAAAATAGAATACCTGCCGGTACGCATGGTGGTGGTCGTTATGATCCGTTGTTCGGCGTTCATTCGAAAAAGAGCTTGCCTGTATTTACACCAAAGGAATCCAAGCGTGTTAAGGCCAGATTGTTGCTTTCATCTTTTTACCAAGACCCTCGTTCTTTCCAGTCTGAAAATAAGGAAGATCTTGTGAGGTTTTTGGAAGAAATGGTTGTGATTGAGAGAGATTATTCATTTGCTCGTCATTTTTTTCAGTTATGCTCCCAGATTGTTGGGCCCAGGAGTTACACATTAGATCAATGTTGGAAAGTCTGTCAAGTGTGGTTACAACAACCAGACAGCTTTGACCCGTTGAGGTACTACTACAGCATGATCATCGCTTTTATTCAAATCTTAAATGGGCTTGGACCAAGTGGATATTTTGCAGAGTTCAAATATCTGGTTCAAAAGCTGAAAGAAGAGTCGAGTAATAACAGCAAAAGAAACCAGTCGATGCATTATCTTCAAAAGCGAAATGATGCCAATAGAATGTCTCAATTAATTAGCCATCATGCCCTTATTGGTGATTCGGCATACAAAACTGATAGCGCTGAAGCTGTGAGACATTTCTGGACAGTCGAATCTCGTCGAAGGTTAATGGAGTGCACTGGCCGACTTCGCGTTAAATTACGGGGCAACAAGGAAGTCGCGACTATTGAACTTTTGGAAGGAGGCGTTGAACTGTATGTTGGGAAATCTGCTGAAACTGGAACGCCAGGAAGAGACTTTGACAAAGACGCTAAAGTATATTTTGTTGTGAGCTTCACGTTGAGAGGACCCGTGGCAAATGGGATAACTTTCCAGTCAATGAAACCAACCTAAAATTCTCACCAATAAATGACCTTATCCATATTTAAACGAATGTTTAAGCACTGAATTTGATGAAATTAATTAAAGGAGTTTGACCATCAACAGATTCTATGGGCGACAGCTTCTTAGTAACTATTAACTGCATTCTGCATTTTAACTTTGAAACTTCGAGGGAAGGAGGAGGGAAGGCGTCAACCTGTCCGTTATACCAGGGCGCTATAAAACACGGGCGGGGAAACGCGCTAATAAATGACCGTGCTACGTGTGATGCACATTAGGATTGGCGCGAGCGCGCTTTCTCTAAAAAAATCAGAAAATCGCGTACAAGATGGCAACAAAAAAATGTAAACAAGCAAAC